ACATCTGTCATGTAACTCAAAGAAAATAAAATACTCAGTTCTAAATTTGGAGGGAAGAGCTAATAAGCCCAGTACATAGTCCCAACAAGCCACAGTGATTGTTTTAAAATATGTTTTCTATCTGGTATTTGATTTGCTATACAGTTTAACAGAAAAGTAACTCTATTTTTCCAATTAAAGGAAGTAATAGTACAATCAATAATTCCTCCTGCTCTAGTGTGGTAAATTAATGTCTGTCTATTGTTTTTAAATCACAAAGTGAGCATTACTATAGAAATGTAAAATGGTACCATTTCGTTTTAATCTATTTAATTTTCCTTTCTTGGATTATATAATAGGGTTAAAACATTGAATAGAATTAATAGAATGAGTATTTAATTAAGCAATAATGAGCTCCTAAATGGATGCTCAAAGAAACTGCTTCATAGTTTATGCAGAAATCAGATAATGGTCTTAACAAAGACTATAATAATTGTGTTGCATGTTTTCCATATTTAAAATTTTTTTTTTCTGTATTCTCTCAGGAGTAGATTTAAACATAACCCAGTTCCTTGATTAGGCTACACTTGGCTTCCAAAGTAAATCACAAATGCCTTTCCATGGCCCACAGGGCCCTTCATAAGCTGACTCTACCATCTCTGGAGTCTGATGTCAGTTTTCTCTGGGCCTCCCCTTCATTCCAGCCACACCCAGCTTCCTTTTGTTCTGCAAGGGTATCTTTGGCTCCTCCTACCACCTGGCCTTTGCTCCTGCTCTTCCAGATGCCAGGTATGTTCTCACCCCTCTAAGTCCTTCTCTTCTTTCAGTTCTCAGGGAATTTTTCCCTTATGACCCTCCCCAGACTGGATCAGATACCCACCTACTCACACATACACACACACACACACACACACACACACACACTCCCCAAGAATTGTGATTTTATTTCTTGGCAATTAACACACTGTTATACATTTCTTTTCTGTCTGTCTCTCCTTTGAGCCTGTAATCTCCATGAGGAAACATATCATGTCTGCTTTGTTTGGTGGTGTATCCATGGATGGATGGATCTATGGTTGGATGGATGATGGATGGATGATAGATGGAAGGATGGATGGATGTGGACGGATAGATGGATGGATGGGTGGATAGATGGATGACAGGTAAATATCATTGTGGACCCATCCAAGGACATATGAGGGCCACAGTGCACACCACGGAGAATTCCTAGCACATCAGCATCTTTCCATTCTACTTGAATTCATTTGCTCACACACTAAAAAGGTAATCTATACCAGCCCCTTTGGTAGGTGCTGCAGACATAAAAATATCAGTGTTGTAGAAGAAGCTGCCCAGGTTTGTCTCACTTATACATGGCCTAAATGTTAATTCTATTTATTAATTCATCTACCCATATACCCACCCACCCATCTATCCATTCATCCCTGCATCCACCATCCACTCATCAGTCCACCCATTCACCCATCCACCCATCCTTCCATCCATCTATCCATCCACCCATCCATCCATCTATTCCATCTTCAGATCTGCTCATGTTCTGTGTACTGTGCCGTTTACTAAGGATCAGGGCTGACTCATCCATCAGGCGCCATTATCACAGTGCTAGGGCCCTAAAATCAGAAAGAAATAAAAAGAAATTTTAGGATAAAATAAATTTTTGATTCTTTTCTTCACATCATAAAAATAATTTTTTCTGAGACAGAGTCTTGCTCTGTCAACCAGGTTGGAGTGCAGTGGTATAGTCATAGCTCACTGCAACCTCAAACTCTGACACTCAAGAGATCCTCCCACCTCAGCCTCCTCAGGATCTGGGACCACAGGCAAATGCCACCACACCTGGCTGATTTTTTGCATTTATTTTTGTAGAGATGGGATCTTGCTATGTTGCCCAGGCTTGTCTTGAACTCCTGGGCTCAAGCGATCCTCCCACCTCAGCCTCCCAAAGAGCTGGGATTACAGTGTGAGAACACCATGCCCAGCTCCAAAAATAAATTTTTTAAGGTTCATGAAACTCTATTATGATAGTAGGGGTTGATGAAGGCAAAAGTGCCTGGGGTTCACCAGTCACAATGCAGCTCTGCTGGAGCACAGGAGACATCAGTCCATCGCTGGTCTTCTGGAACACTCAGGCAAGAGACAGAATCAGGCATCAGTCAACAAGTCATTCCCTCTTAGTCTTGCTCCTGTATGGCTTTGTCCCTTCACATTCCCTTAGCCCTCTCTTCTGCTCCCAGATCCCACTTCCTATACTTAAGATTATTCATTCATTCAACAAATATCTACTGAGTTTCTTCTGTACACCTAGCACCATGCAAGAGGCTGGAGGTGAAGCCTTGAAAAGACAGGTGCACATGGAGCCTCCAGCCTCCTCAAATCATGATTTGTCACAGTGTTTTCATCTTGGCACTGTGACACTCCTGCTTTGACAGAGCAACTTCTCACTTGTGCACTAGACATGACAGCGTTTCTATCTGACTGGTAGTTTCCAGCATCCTCTAGCCTTAGCCCATCTCGTGCCCACATGATTGACACCTGGTTTCCTAAAGTATAGATGTTAGAAGAGCCACAGGTCAGATTATGAGCTGAAGTCCACTGTGATCAGCAGGGACAGAGAACCAGTTCTCTGAATCTGGACCACAGCAGGGGGTGAAGGAAGGACTGGCCTAAGCTTGGGGGATCTGAGGTGGGCATGAGTAGCAGAATTGGTTGAGAACAAAGATTACCGGAAACCAGGAGACTTAGGTCTGATCCTTGGGTCATTAAATTACTTTAGGCAGGACTCTTCCTTCTTCCTTCCTTCCTTCTCTGTGCAGTCATCTTCATCTGTAACATGCAGGGATTAGGTAGTACATGTGTCACCAAGCCCCCTCTTGGCTACATGGCAGATAGCACTAACTGATCACAGCACTGTTTCCTGCTGAGCCCAGATGTGCTGCAAACCTGTCCATAGCAGGCTCAGGCGGCTTCACCCATTCACAAGGGTAGGTCCTGTCGTTAACACCTGCCTGCCATCCCTAGACTTGGACTCCATCCTGCTTCTCACCCCAACTACATATTAGAATTATCTTGGCAGGTGAAGAAAACACTATGTCCCTGGCTTTACCCTGGAGCCTGGGGAATCTGAATTGATCTGGGGAATCCGAATCTGAATTGACTCCTTGACTGATGCCTGATTCTGCCACTTGCCTGAATGTTCCAGAAGACCAGAAATGGACTGATCTCTCCTGTGCTCCAGCATGGCTAGTGAACCCCAGGCACTTTCACCCCCATCAACCACTCCTACCGTAATAGATTTTCATACGCTTTAATCCTGGAGAGTCCTGAATTAGAATGGGACCCAGGAATTTTTTTTCAAAGCCTCTGAGAGACTCTAATGCACAGACAGGGCTGAGAACCACTAGCAGAGTTTTCCAGCTCAAGAATTCTATGATTTGTGTGAGAAGAGGAGAAGATAAAAGATAGGTGGACCTTAAACAAGAATCATAGGAACCAGATCAAAATAATTGCCCCCCGGAGCTGTTTCTGTGTGACAGCAGCCTCAGTATCCCTCCTCATTCCCACTCTTTCCTAGCCTCCATGCATGTTCTAACAATTTTCCAGCTCGGGCATGGTGGCACATGCCTGTAGTCCCAGGTACTCAGGAGGCTAAGGCAAGAGAATTGCTTGAACCCAGGAGGTGGAGGTTGCGGTGAGCCGAGATCGCGCCATTGCACTCCAGCCTGGGTAACGAGCAAAACTCCATCTCAAAAAAAGAAAAAAAAAAAAAAAGGAATTTTCCAGCTCTCCTTTTATGAAAGGCAAGTCATCCAGGTTTGCTGAGGTGCAATAGACAAATTAGTTCCAGTCCCCGCCCCGTCCCCTTAGAAGCCTCGGGATTAAGGTTTATGATTAATGATTTGCAAGTCAATTAATCAGCCACCGCTTTTGAAACCTCATTTCTCAAATTGCTTCTCTTTGAACACAAGGGCTTTTTGACATCATCTTACTGTCTCTAGATTCACTTTCCTACTAATTGAAATTCCAAGATATTTCTTCATCTTGTCAGCTTATTGGTATTACTTGTTTATAAAATATTTGCAAACAGATTACTGTTCACCTGTAGTGTGTCAGAGGTAAGCAGCAAAACAATACTTTAGGCTTGCCGCTCAAAGGGATGTACTAATGATAGCTCGTGAACTTCTCTATGAGAATTTATTCTCTACGAGATTTTTCATTGATTGATTTATTCTCGCCACACCTGCTTGAAACAAGTATTTGAGATGTATTACAATAGAAACACAGGTACAATAAGGCTCCAAACAATTGATTTAGATGATTTCTTAGAACATGGTTTCTAAGGTCATACTAAGAGTGGATATGGAGTAGGAAGGATGGGATTGGTTTTGTTCATTAGAGAAAATAGCGGAGTCTAGTAGAAGATCTGGGGTCAAACACTGTGCTTTAAATCCCAGTCTCTTCACTTATAAGTCTTAGTGCTCTACTCATCTGATTCTGTTACTGTTTGAGGAAGGCAGGGCTGCAAGAACAAATGGAAGCAAAGATGGCTTGAACTCAATCAAAATTTGTTTCTCGTTCAAAGACAGTTCAGGATGGGTGTTCTTGGCCACCAGGTTGCTCCCTTCCATGTGGTGACTCAGGGACCCAAGCTCCTCCTCCCTTGTGGCTCCCTGCTACCCTGGGGTTTTGTGGTCCTCTGCATTCAGGTAGGCAGAGGGTGAAAAAGCACAGAGAGGAGGCACAGCTGTTCTCTTCACCCTCCCTCCACAGAGTAGCACAGCACAGCCGTGATCACCATCATTCCTGCCCACATTCTGCAGGAGAGAAGTTAGTTTTGTGGCCTCACCTAAGTTCAAGGAGAGGAGCATAGCATCTTCCGATCATAATTCTCCTATGTTACTATTTAAGTGAGACGATGTGTGTAACATATCCAATGCAAAGCATGGAGTAAATGAATATGTTTTTTTCAAAATAGTGACCATTGCCATCTGCTTTGTTTGCAGTTTCAAGCCACAGTCGAGGAAGGAGCTGTGGGAGTCATTGTCAATTTGACGGTTGAAGATAAGGATGACCCCACCACAGGTGCGTGGAGGGCCGCCTACACCATCATCAATGGAAACCCCGGGCAGAGCTTCGAGATCCACACCAACGCCCAAACCAACGAAGGGATGCTTTCTGTCGTCAAAGTAAGGGTGCTTCCTACTGCCCCTTTCTCCTCATGTGAGCAGTGAGGACCCCACAAGGGAAATCATAGAATCACTGAGTTTAGAAGGCCAGGGATAAATTCTCCCAGTCTCCTCCTTGTGAGAATTAACAAAGTAAAAGTCTCGTGGCTTAAGGGTACACCCACATCCTCAGCAGCATAAACAAGCAGCCAAAACAAACCTGTGTTATAGGCTCTAAAACACTCAAGCTTACATGTAACTTTAAAAAAACCAAACTTAAGTGGATTTTTGTTTTTGTTTTTGTTTTTGTTTTTGAGATGGTCTCACCTTGTCGCCTAGGCTGGAGTACAGTAGTGCAATCTCGGTTCACTGCAATCTCTGCCTCCCAGGTTCAAGTGATTCTCATGCCTCAGCCTCCTCAGTAGCTGGGATTATAGACACCCACCATCATGCCAGGCTAGTTTTTGTATCTTTAGTAGAGATGGGGGTCTCACCATGTTTCCCAGGCTGGTCCCAAACTCCTGGCCTCAAGTGATCCACTTGCCTTGGCCTCCCAAAGTGCTGAGATTACAAATGTGAGCCACCATGCCTGGATCAAACTTAGGTTTTAAATAGATTATTTATACACTTGCTAAGGAATGATTTGCAGATGCGTCAAAATGAAATATGTGAAGGTGTTTATAAAGATAAGTGCTCAAAATGCAGGCTTTGACATGTCTTCTTAATCTTTCTTGGCAGAGCTTAGTTCTTCCTTAAAAACACACACACAACATAATTATTGGTGTGAAACCCTCTGTGAGCCTTGCTAACTCGCATGCTGATCCTCTCTCTGCCTACAAATAGAACAAGGAGGAAATACAATTATAAATGTAAAACCTCATGCTCATGCTGGGAATCCAGAAATATTAGTGGGGATGATGGCACAGAAGGCGTGATGCAGGTGGTCTTGGTATTCCGGAAGAAGGCATTTCTACACCGTTTCACCCTTTCTGGGAAGTTCTGGGCAGAGTTTCTGCCAGAGACCAGGATCTTCATCGGGACACATTTTCTTTTCTAGTGGATGAAGCCATTTGCCTGAGCAGCAGGGATCAATCGCATTTATAGTGACAGTAGTAGTGGGCAGAGCAGGGACATGGCTCCCCACTCCCCTGTGTGCCCTTGACCAACATACACTCATGTTTTCCGGGCCTCAGTTTCCTTACCTGAAAATGAGAATGATAATATAACCTAACTCTTAAGGTTGTTGTTGTAATCCATTTAGTTGCTATCATGAAGTACAGTATAGGGTGGGTAGCTTATAAACCACAGACATTCACTTCTCACAGTTCTGGAGATTGAAAAGTCCAAAATGAAACTTTCAGTAGATTCTGTACCTGGTGAGGAACCACTTTTTGATATATGTTCATGTCCTTTCTCTATCCTCACTTGGTAGATAGAATGAGGCAGCTCTCTGGATTCTCTTATTCTCTCTCTCTCTCTCTCTCTCTCTCTCTCTCTCTCTCTCTTTTATTTTTATTTTTTGAGATGAAGTCTCACTCTGTCAGCAGGCTGGAGTGCAGTGGCATGATTTTGGCTCACTGCAACCTCTGCTTCCCAGGTTCAAGCGATTCTCCTGCCTCAGCCTCCCAAGTAGCTGGAATTACAGGCTCATGCCACCACACCCAGCTAATTATTGTATTTTTAGTAGAGACGGGGTTTCACCATGTTGGCCAAAATGATCTCAATCTCCTGACCTCGTGATCCACCCACCTCGGCCTCCCAAAGTGCTGGGATTACAGGTGTGAGCCACTGAAACCGGCCCGGATTCTCTCTTTTTAAGGGCATTAATCCCATTTATGAGGGTTCTGCCTTGTGACCTAATCACCTACAAATGGCCCCATCCTCTAATGCCTTCACAGTGGGGGTTATTTCAACAAATGAATTTTGAGGGAACACACATATTTAGTCGATAGCAGCTGTTGTGAGAATTTCAGGAGCCGACATGTAAAGAATACTGATGGGCACTTGCAGTCAGCAGCAGTTTCCTGTGGCTTCTGTCACAAATTACCACAAATTTAGGGCCTGAAAAAATTTTTTTTTCATGAAAATACATGAATTTATTATCTTACATATCTGAAGGTAAGAAGTCTAACATGAATCTCACTGGGCTAAAAATCAAAGGATTGGCAGAGCTGCCTGCTTTCTGGAGGATTCGTGGGGGAATTCACTTCCTTGCCTCTTCCAGCTTCTAGAGGCCACTTGCATTCCCTGGCTCCTGGCCCCATCTCCATTGTCAAAGCCAGCAGTGCAGCATCTTCAAATCTCTGACCCTCTGACTCTAACCCTCTGCTTCCATCATCACATCTCCTACTTCCTCCATTGACCTGCTCACCTCCCTCTTACGTGAACCCTTGTGATTCGATTGGATCCACTGGATAATCCAGGATAACTTCCAGTCTCAAAGTTTTTAACATAATCATATCTGCAATTACCATGTGACCTATTATAAAGTCACATATTCTCAACCTCCAGGAATTAAGATGTGGACATACTAGGAAGCCATCATTCATCCTCCCAAAGAGCTATACAAACAACTGCCCCAACAAAGCTCGTGACACCCAGAGGGCTGGACCCATGGCCACTGAGAATGGCAGATCTCAGACATACTTCGGGCTGGTTCTAGAGGATGAACAAGCCAAACCTGTGGTCTGAGTTTCTCCCAAGCCTTGCCCCTTTTCAGCCTCTGAGTCCCCCTCTATTCTTCTTCTCCAATAACATGGGCAATGGCAAAGTTATTAGGAAAGCCTGGCACTGGCCTTCTGTGTCCACGGCTGCTGCACTTTCAAAGCTGTAAAAATCATAGAATGACATAGCCACTGGCTGTCCTCTGTGGCTAGTCCTGAGTCTATAAAAGCTGTCAGGCAACTTTCCAAACCTGCAACTTGAAGATAAAACTTGGATAAATAGACATCTCCATCACAAATCCTGAAGCTCAGTCCTCCCCAAAATGTGTTTGCCATAGCTCAAGGAAAATGAATATGAACAAAACAGGATTTGATAGGGTGCGGTGGCTCATGTCTGTAATCCCAGCATCTTGGGAGGCTGAGGTGGGTAGACCACTTGAGGTCAGGAGTTCAAGACCAGCCTGGCCAACATGATGAGACCCTGTCTCATTAAAAATACAAAAATAATCTGGGCATGGTGGCATGCGCCTATAATCCCAGCTACTTGGGAGGCTGAGGCAGGAGAATTGCTTGAACCAGGGAGGCAGAGGTTGCAGTGAGCCAAGATTGTGCCACTGCACTCCAGCCTGGGTGACAAAGTGAGACTGTCTCAAAACAACAACAAGAACAAAAATACAGGACTTGCAGGAAGGAGCCATTCTCCTCTGCTTGCATTCCTGCATTGGTCCACAAGGCAGTGGCTCTCAAATGCTAGCATATATAAGAATTATCTGGAATGCTACTTAAAATGCAGATTTCTGGGCTTGCCCCAGACCTACTGTGTCAGAATATGAGGGAGAGGTGTGCCAGGCGGTTCTGTTGTTCACAGGGCACAGCTCTTGTTGAGGGGCATGGCGTTAGGGGAAGCTGTTTCCATAAGCTTGTCTGCCCTCCCTGCAAATTCCAGGGGAATAGGGGCCCATGGAGGCTGAGGCTCTCACTGACTTCAGCTTTGCTAGTGTGTGGACTTCCTTTGCTTTGGAAATGGGATGCAGAGTCTCCCTCACCCCACACTGGCTTCCTCCCAGATCAGTAGGAAGGGCCTTGAGCTCTCTCTGCCTCTCAGCACATGTGAGGCAGAGTCCAAGACCACCTTCCAGAGGCCAGTTAGGCCATGTTCTCTGCTGCTGTCCACTGTGCCAGCCATTGGTGCAACCATTAAGAATGCTTTCTGTGGCAAGTAACAGAATGTGGCTTAACTAGTAAAGGAATTTAAGAATTTTTGTTGCTAGATAATGATAGGCCAGTCCAAGATTGGCCAACAGTTCCAGGTAGCAGAGAACCGGCCGTGGGTGCTTCAGATACTTTTGACTTTTTCCTCTTGGACATAAAGTGGCTGCCAAAGCCCCAGGCATCATGTCTTCCCACTGCTGCATCCTAATCCAGAAAACAAGGAGGCAGCCAGGCAAGTGGAGGGAGAAGGTGCTCTCATGTGACCCTCTCCTCTTATTGGGAAAGAAAACATCTTTTCTAAGGGTCCCCCAGCCAATTTCTCATGATGTTTCATTGGCCAATGACATAAGTTCTTCCTTAACTTCAAGGAAAGCTGAGAAAGTCCATATCTGGCCTTTGGGCCTTTACAGCAGATAAGGGAGTTGGGGACTGGCGATTGCTATTGGGTAGCCAAGCAAGAGCAGGTCTGCACTAACCAGTTAGCAATCCAACATACGGTAGAACTAGTTGGAGTCTCAGGATGCTGCTGGTTTCCAGCAAGGGCCTGCCTCTCAAAAGGACCAAATCCCAGCAGCTCTGGCAAACGAGTGCCCACTTTGTCTTTAAAACCTTCAGGTCAGAAATATCCATAGTTGCTTTCTAAACCTGTTCTAAAACCACCAGAAAGTTATTTTTTCAGCTGACTATAATCAGCCCTACATTTTATTTTCTATTTTGTCCTCAGAGAAGGAAGTGTCCAGAAAGCATCCTTGATTCCCCAAACCATTCACAGGCCTAAAAACAGCTGTTCCGTTGGTTCTGGATCCTCCCTCTTCCTGCCAACAAACCCAGGTCCTCCACCCTTCCCATGTGGGTCAGCTTTTCCAGGCTTTCAGTTTCCCAGGACAGTGGTTGACACCCTCTCTTGACACCTGAAAAAAATATTAATTGAATTGCCTCTCTGTAGCTTCCATCAGGAGCATTTTCAATTTCCTTCCACCCCTGACACAGAGGCCCAGCAACAGACAAAGCAAGTTAATGAGATTGTGTGCTCTGTGAGCTCATGGAGAGCTTCTTAATCCAATTACAGCCTCCAAAAGGGATTAGGAAGGGAGACCCACGTGTCACCAGCTCCAGCGGGTGTGGCCCTGGGCATTGTACAGCTGGATTTACTAGACTTCACCTTGTACATAAACACTAGCGCGGCCCTGCTCCCTTCCAAAGGCCAGCCTTGTGTTGTGTGCCTCCCCTCTTCCCTTCTGCTTCCCTCCCTTTAAGACAGCCTTTGTGGCTTAGTTCCTCGGAAGCCAGCATTCTGTTCAGGAAGTGTCAGCCTGGGAACAGGCATGGTTGATTATATTCAACTGAAAGAATAACTTTTTGGTGGTTTTAGAACAGGCTTAGAGAGCAACTAAGGGTGTTTCTGGCCTGAAGGTTTTAAAGACGAAGCAGGCTCTCATTTGCCAGAACAGCTTGAATTTGGTCCTTTTGAGAGGCAGGACCTTGCTGGAAACCAGCAGCATCCTGAAACTCCAACTAGTTCTTCAGCATGCTGAGGACTGGGGCGATGACTCTTCCAGCTCTTGCAGAACCACCCTCTTCTTTCTCACCCCCTTGGCAGCTTCTTGTTACTGATATTGACACTAGGCCTAGCTCCATGGGGAGCATTCAGCATTCACCCTGCCCCCTGATCTTTACAACAATCTCCTGTATTCGGATTTTGTTGAAGAGAAAGCTGAGACTTCAGGAGAAGCAGTGGCTTGCTGGTGGTCCCAGAGTTATGATGCATCAGGGCCAGGACTTGGCCCCCACCTGTCTTTCTATTTAAGAAAAAAGTAGGGAATTTAAAAGGTAAAAATGTCCAATAATGTTCGAGTTTTGCATAATCAAAATAACACATAATTGTGTTGCAAAAGACTAGTGCTAGAGAAAAGCACAAGAATTACAGTTGTTAATTCCTTCCTTCCTCCCTCCCTCCCTCCCTCCCTCCCTCCCTTCCTTCCTTCCTTCCTTCCTTCATGCATTGATACTTATTTAGAGCCCACTATGGTCCTGACACTATGCTAGGTGCTATATATTCACTGATGAATGAACTGGTCTCTCTCTGCATCCTCCCAGGGAGCTTATAGTTATAAGAGCAAGAACTTTTGCTACAAATAATGATGTTTCCAGGAAAGAAGGAGAGAAGGAGGGAGGGAGGGAATTGTTTCCTTGGGAAAAAATAGCCAGTGGTCCCCAGCCAAAGAAAAGGAGCGGAGCAGCACAAATTGCTTATTTCCCAGCATCTTGACTGTCTCACTTGTCAGCAGATGGCTGTATTCCCCAGAAACCCCATCATCCTCCTGCTAGTGCATAGGTCTGTGGCCCTGGGGAATCAGATGCCAGACCAAACTAGGCCAGGATTGTGATTAGTGCTGGTGGGGTGGCGATGGCCCTTGGGAGACTGGGGTGCTCTGCATTTCACTTCAGCTCAGGGGACACACCCTCAGTGTCGACACAACCCAGCAAGCCAAAGGCTCTGTCCTCTCTGGAATCCTAATTGAGATGAATAGCTGCATTTTCCAAGTATGGCAGCTCCCTGGCCCTGGTTTGAAGTTTACTTTACTGAGGTTGCATATTCTGGCGTCACTTGGGATGGACAGAGATCTGTTATTAGGATTCATAGAAAGAAGGACAGAATGGTAACTGACTCCTGTGTAACAGGGATTGAACTGAAACACCAGCATGCAGCCACTCAGCACTAAGAGCTTTGCACTGGTTAAGTCTTAAAATCCTAAAACTAACCCTGCTAGGAATTGTTCTAGGTGAAGAGAGGAAGTCCAGTTACAACCAGGAAGCATTACCAGTGTGCGTGTGTGCGTGTGCACTCTCCCATGCGTGGAGTGCTTGGCACTGAATACATGTCAGCTATAATTATCATGAAAGTGACTTCATTTGCCTAAAGGCACTCTGACCCAGCCTGCCAGATTCCATTTCCAACTCGGTGTCAGCTCTTTCCCCAGTGGCAGCAGTCCTCATCTCTGCTTTCATTTTCCCATGTCCATGGTAGCCTCTTCATGCCCTTGCTTACTTTTAGTTGAGTGTAAATCAAATCTCTTGACTCATTTAGTCTTGTCCTTCTTGCAAGAATATCCATGATGGCGTGGGTCTGATGGGTTAGCTACTTTTTCCAGTAAACATTAGGAAAACAACTTGATATAAGCAGCATGGCCTCATCTTACCTAAATGTCTCCCCATGCATACCTGGCAGAGCCCCACTCTGGGAAATGCTGCTCTCACCCTATCCTGTGCTCTCGTGGTTGGGAAAAAGAGTGACAGACATGCATTGGCAGCACCATTGTATTACTAATTTTATCATGGAGTTTCTCTGACATCCTCTGGTTTAGTCCACACAGTGGCTGGGGGAGGTGGGTATTCTATCAGCCCCCTTTGCAAAATCACCTAGAGTGGTCCTCATCAGGGCTGCCCATTGACACTGGGGTAAGGCAATCCACCGTTGTGTGGGACTGTAACTGTCCTGGGCATGGCTTTAAGTCTGCTGTTACTGTCCCCTGCCCAGTCAATGGCTGGGGAGCCCTCAAGTCAGTTGAAAATACTCCCATACATTTTCAAATGCCCTCAGCTGGGGCAGGGCCCACAGGCTTAGCCCCACATGGCTCAGACTCTCAAGTTCTTTCCCCGCGTTACTTTCTACTAGAGACTGTGAACCCAGGCTATACTTTAAGGTGTGTGGAGACCCTTTGACTTCATGGCAAGTGAGTGATAAATATTACAGATGAAACCTTATACAATTCAAGATAAGATTTGGAAAAAAAGTAAAAAAAAAAAAAAAAGAAAAAGAAAGAAACATGAAAGCTTAGTTTTCCTATTCCATTGATCCACTGTGATAACAGAGGTAGGATTATCTTGCTATAAAGCTACTGAGGCTTGGGATTTGGGGTGTCATTTACCTGAGCCCAGTGGTGTGGAGTTTCAGGTCCCAGGCAGGGAGGCTTTAAGCGTCAGCATTGCCAAGGAGTTGCCTAAAGAAATCTCAGAGGGAGGCTCACTAAGGCTCAAGTCATGTGTTGTCATTTATTTCTTAATAAAAAAAAAAAAATCCATACCTAATCTCACATTTTCATGTTTTTGTTTGTTTGTTTGTTTTTGAGATGGAGTCTCACTCTGTTGCCAGGCTGGAGTGCAGCGGTGCAATCTCAGCTCACTGCAACCTCTGCCTCCCAGGTTCAAGCGATTTTGCTGCCTCAGCCTCTCTAGTAGCTGGGATTACAGGCGCCCGCCACCAGGCCCGGCTAATTTTTGTATTTGAAGTAGAGATGGGGCTTCACCATCTTGATCAGGCTGGTCTTGAACTCCTGACCTGGTGATCCACTTGTTTTGGCCTCTGAAAGTGCTGGGATTACAGTCGTGAGCCACCGCACTCAGGCACATTTTCATGTTTCATATTCTTCATCTTAAAGATAGCGCCCCTGTTACACAGGCTTAGCCTCCAAAGCCCAGCTCCATCCCTGAAGGCCTACTGTTGCTCATGGAATTTCAGAGGGAGTTTGTACAAACCACTGCCCTCTGTGGCTGGTGTGCATCCTGAGACCCTTCTGTCTGCTTTCCAGCCATTGGACTATGAGATTTCCGCCTTTCACACCCTGCTGATCAAAGTAGAAAATGAAGACCCACTCGTACCCGACGTCTCCTACGGCCCCAGCTCCACAGCGACCGTCCACATCACCGTCCTGGATGTCAACGAGGGCCCAGTCTTCTACCCAGACCCCATGATGGTGACCAGGCAGGAGAACATCTCTGTGGGCAGTGTGCTGCTGACGGTGAATGCCACAGACCCCGACTCCCTGCAGCACCAAACCATCAGGTGGGTGAGTGGTTCCAGAACCGCAGACGGAAGGTGGGCAGGAGTTGCTTTTCCTTTCCAGTCATAGAAGCTGGTTGTCAGGAGCAGATACCGTTAAATTAAACTTGTTAACAATCCCAGCAAGTGGGTGGAAAGCGTCATAGAGAGGAGGTTGTGGCTGATGGCTGCAGGGGGCCAGGCTCTCTGGTGAGGACAGTGCTCCCACCTGAGGCTAGCCTGGGAGGGGAGTAGCTTCAGTGCTATGTTCCCAAATGATATCCAGGTCTGCTGTCCCCGAGCACAGAGAGAAGGGAGCCACTCTGGGTGGCCTCGTGCATCTCAGAAACTTGCCTGCTTTGTCATTAGCACTGCTTTAAGAGAAGGTCTGGGCAAACTCCATTTACAGATGCAGGTATTGCGGATTCATAGGGGCTCAGTAACTTGCTCAAGCAACCCAGCTTGGTGGCAGAGGAATCAGTATGGAAACAGGACACTCTGTGAAGTCCATCCTCCTCTTGGCTGCTAAATGCTTGCTGACTCTGAGCTGTTCAGAGGAGGAAGGAGCAAGTCACTTCATGGTGCTTGGAAATAGACCATTGAGAATGGCGTTTTGCCTGATGAGGGGCAGGCCAAAATTAATAATAATAGTAATGTCTTCAGAAATTTCTGTCTTTTTTTCTTAAGCTCTGCCCAGTGTTTAGGTAGAAGGCATTTTCATAATGAGATTTAATTAAATGACCGCTATCTACCCATGGTGTGTCTAATGCTCACAAATAAAAGACATCCTCCTTGGTACGTTACTTTGCAATAAATTTAAATCAGCATGTAGATCCAAATGCATGCCCATCTCTGCAGAAGAAGGTTATTAATCTTCCTCCTCCAAAATCTAATCTTCTTCTCATATGAGGTACAAATAATCAGGTATTAGACACACTTACAATAAACAAGTATCTGATTTTCCTGATTTGAAACACCTGGAAATATGCAACAGAGTCTGAGTCAACCACTTTACCTTGAAGCAAGCTGGCAGAGAAGAAGCAAAAGTTATTTTCCAACCCCAGAAGTGAATTTGTTTTTACAGCTAAACTTTCTGAATGCCAGATGAACTAGACAAACGTGTGAGATAATACCAAATCCTATAATAATGTGAATCTGAAATAGCCATTCTTTTTTTCCTTTTTTTTTTTTTGTTGCTATCTGACAATGGAAACATGCAATTTAAACATCAAAGAGAAAGACTTCCTTAAGTACTTAGATGGGAAAACTGGTAGCTTAACAGACTGCAGGGTAGTGGGACAAAGGTAGGATGTTTCCAGGTGAGCTTAACTGTCATCTTGTATTTCTACAACTGGAGGTGAAGGCAGGGATCCTGCGGGCAATAAAACGAGTTAAAGCAGGTTGATTTTGTGGACCCTGGGACACTGCCATTGCTGGTACAACTTGGGATGCTGCCAGTCATGAAAGGGTTAATGCAATGGGAGGGGTGTCTGAGACCTAGAGTTAGACATCACTGCTAAGATAAGATAGACAGTGGGAGAGGAAGGTCAGACTGGGTTGTTTGATGAAGACCAGCTCTGCTGACTTGGGCAAAGAGAGAATGAATGTGCTGGAAGACATTATGGACATTATATATGATGGAGGAGTATCAAGAACCTGCTTGAGATAGCACAGGAGCTGGGGCATCCTTCAGGCTCTAGGTCACAGGAACAGACAGGCTTGCAGTTCAGGATCTCACAGGGAGAATAAGCCAGCTCCAGCCATTTTCTGTTCTAGTGTCGCTCAGCCGTGGTCACATTCCCAGGGTGGCTCCTTGCTGGAGCTGGGGTCATGCACCTCCCTGCTCGGGGCACCTGGATTAGTGATCAACTGGGATGCTGTTCTCAGACACGCAGCACAGAGGGCCGCTGACTAAGAAGGAGGGAAGAAAATCCTGTCTGGCAAATGGAGCGTGCTGCTGGAGGCAGGCCACAGGTGCAGACCATCCCAGCAAACGGAGTTAGAAACAGGATTCCAGCTTGGGGAAGGAGGGGTACCTGGGAGAGCTGAGACATTCAGGAGCATCCAGGCCAGGATTCGAGCTGTGGAGAACAAAGGTCGGGTAACTATTAAATAGCCCTGGGAGACAAGGGTCTTAATCCCACTGCTATGCGAGAGAAGGAGGAGGTCAGAGAAAGCAACCTAGAACTGACTCGAGGTGAGACTCGTGGGGAGAAGCTGGAATTCACAGAGTTCTGAGGACCTTCTTGTTTCTCTAGCAAGTGTGATCATCACAGTTGTGGCCTTCCATCACAAGTAACCAGGACCCAACTCACAGCAATTTATGCCAAAGGGGGGTCCTTGTTACTTACATGGGTCAGCACACCTAATGGAAAAGTCCATGGGAATGAAGGCCTCCTCCAGCATGATGGAATTCAGGTGCTCAGACCATATTCCTTCTCCATGTCTAACTCTGCTGTCCTCTGGGTTGGTTCCATCCTCAGCTCTATTTGCACATCTGTAAAGAGAGAGGCACCAGCAACATCTGTCCTTGATCCTACCAACAGAAAGCAATATCTTCCTTCCTAATCAGCAGCCCAGCCCAAGACCCAAGTTGGGCCATGAGCACACCCCTCTGAACCAAGCAGTAGAGCAGCAGGGCGGATTGTGCTGATGAGTCCTGGTGCCCAAGCCTGCCACAGACCCCAGCACCCAGCTCTGAGGGCCTGCAGGGGCAGCTACCCTAGGAAGTGCAGGAGGCTTGTCCCAGAAGGTGGGAACAAATGCTGAGTAGTCAGGAACAACAGAGAGCCACTGGCACCAAGGTCAACCTTGTGAACCCCACAGAAAATAGAGCTGCACTGTGTCTCTGCAGCTGGTATGCCTAAGAGTTCTAGCATTTACAAATTGGCCTGGCTGAGAGAGGGCTGGACTAATCCCTTTCCCAGCCTTGGAGCAAAGTAAATGTGTGCGTACATGTGCATGTGTGTGTATTGCACACATTTCTCTATCTGGCCTGACTCCTCAGACATATCCTGCAAGTGATCCTTTCTTAGCCTGGTACTGGCAGGATCCCCCACCCCTTTCCTGTCCTCCCTTCTTCCTTTCTTCTCCCCTTCCCTCCCTCCCTCCTCCCACCCACCCTTTCCTCCCTGCCCTCTCTTCCCCTCCACCCCTCTACTCTCCTGGAAGAAAGCCGGGATAACAACACCTACAAGTTGAGCTATTGTCACAGGAGCTCTTTGGAAAAAAGAGGCTCATTATTTGCAGCCTTTGAACCTGCATACTGAGAAGTGCTGTCCCTGGGGGGCTGTGTGTGCAGAGGAGGAATGGGGCTGCACAGAGGGGCCAGGGTGGGAGATGGCTTTCTCATCTAATCATCTATGCTGGGTTCCCAGACTTCTCAGACAGATGCAAAGGCCTTGCAAGTTGTGATGTTAGTGTTGTAATGGTTCTTCAGGGAGCAGGCACTGGAAGAAGAAACTTACCTCAAAGAGAACTCTTCCTTCTCCTCCTCCTCCACAAAACAGGAATCAGGCGTCTCCTGATAACGTTTTAGTGTCTCTAATGTCTTTATCTTCTTCTTCCTTCTGCTGACTGCTGATGTGATACCTCTATTCTTGTCTTCTTAGTTTAAAAGTATTTAAGCAAGAGACACACAGCAAAAGAATTGCAGCATAGAGTAATTTATTGCAAAGAAAGGGATATGTTGAAAGTTAGGTGCAGAGTAGCCAGTACACTCTGAGAGAGAGGATTCAGGGTGGGCTGCTCATAAGGATGAAACAGCAGAGCAAAGACCCACATCAGGGAGGCTCCCTTCGTGGGAGTCTTCCGTGATTATTCATAAGTAGGTGGGAAGAGGCGTTACTAGGAAGTATGCTCTGCGTGGTCTTCTGGGTGCACAAGTGCAGTAGCTGTACATGCTCATTCATATATTGCGTGTCTCTTTAGCATCTTACATCTCCACCCAGGGCTGTGTTGTTCATGACTATGATGAGCAAAGCATCAGTTTGTGAAACATCAGTCATCACCTGCCGAGATCTGTCTTGCGGACCCTGACTCAATGATGGATGAATGAACGCACTCTCACACCTATTTCTGTGATTCAAGTGGGCTAGGGATAGTCGTTGGCTACTTTCAGAGGGTGAAATCTTGCCAGTTGACCAAGATGCCCTGTACATCCATACATTTATTCAGTAAAGATTTTATAACAGAGGTTCTAAGTCAACATGCATGTGGGTAATTAACATGGTTAAAAGTGTGGTTTTAGGAATGACAAAAGCTTTAGCTTCTGGAGGCCCAGGGTAAACCCCATTAATGGGTAATTCCCCTTTGACCGCCCCATGAGAGGATCATCCAGCACAAGGTTTACATGAGTAAACAGAGTAGAGACAAAGGGATGTGGGGTAAACAGATTTCACCAGGGAAAACCTCTCATCATCCCTGTCTTTTCCCTAACATAATGGACCAGCCATCTTCTGCCTGCCCCAATAAAACCTTTCGTCCTTCCGAAAGGTTTGAGACTATAATCTATAACTTTCCTTATTATTGCCCTAATATTTTGCCGGCCACCTCAAGTGAATTCCAACAAGTTTGAGGACAGGTAAAATTAAATGTGCATGTTCTCTAGAGGGAAGAGTCCCTACTGCAGTCAGCTTTGTTTGAATGAACTCAGTTACCATGCAAATGCTGAGGTTTACTGTGTTGGCTGTACAGTCACCGTGGTTGCTGCTGCATCCCAAGAACATGGTCATTTCCTTTACTACCTAGCCAGCCTCACTCCTCCTCCTTGCTCTGTCTCTCAGCCTCTCTCTCTCCACCCCACCATCTCTGTCTTTTCTGACATTCCCTGTGATTCAGCTCCCACATCCCCACTCATCTCACGTTTCTCACCAGACCCTCAAAACTAAAAGCTGCCATGAGAGACCAGGATCCTGAGAGCCTGTGGCAAGGCCTGCCCACCCTAAGTGCCACTTTTGCCTCCTCCCTGGGGGGCTCCTTCCGTGGTCAAAATAGGAAGCCTTCTCCCCACCCCCAACCCCACCAAAATGTGGGAACACACTTTCAGCTAAGTCCAGGCCCTGCACTTCTTCCTGTCTCGTGTGAGTAAATGCACATCTCAGGCTCGACTGCTCCTCTGCTGACCACAGCTGGACGCCCCCTTGTCTTCCCAGGGAATGCTCAGATCAGCAAAGGGAACCTTGATCTCCAAGGAGCCTATGACTCTAAAGACAGGCAGTGTCCAGGCATCGGAGGGAATCTTCTCACTAAAAAGCCTGTGTTATTAAGACTCATTTAAAAAACCCTTCACATTGTGCTGTTAGCCAAATCAAAACAAATAGCAGTGATCTAGGGACAGATGAAATTCTTCTTTTTAATGACTTTTATCTTCTCACCCTTATAATAAAAGTAAGATAGTTTCTAGAAGAAACTTTTGAAAAGACAGGTAAGAATAAGGCAGATAATAAAGTATCTGTCATCATGTCCAACAAGGAAATCCCTTTTTCATAGCTTTGCTCTATCTCCCTCAATCACATGTGAGTATTATGTTTTTCATTATCAAAATTGGCTTGCATTATCCACTCTCAAAACTCACCATTTTTATTTCCCAGTATATGCTGAACAGCTTTCTATCTCAAGAAACGGCCATTATTTTTCATCGCTGAATAGTGTGCTGTTATTCCATTACAGGGATATACACATCTGTTTATTCCCTTGTTGTTGGCTATTTACATTGTTTACACTTGTTTGCAGTTTTTGTAAAACATTAGTGGGCATGCTTGTAGTGAAATTGTTTAATGCATCATTGACATTCTGAAGATAAATCCCTCAAAATACTTGGCTTGAGCAAAAGTATGACTGTGTATTAATGATTTTTGTCATATACAGAATTCTTTGTTTTTATATCTAGGCAGTCAAATTCATACTTTCCATTATTTCTAAATTGGTGTCACAGTTTAGAAAGTCCTTCTCTGCTCCAAGATCTTGTACATGTAGGCAGGTCCTACAACAGAGCAGGTTCCCACTCTCTGTCCTCTCCACGTATGATGACAGTCAGACTTGCTTCTGGCCAGGCACGGTGGCTCATGCCTGTAAGCCGAATATTTTGGGAGGCCGAGGTAGGCAGATCATCTGAGATTAGGTGTTTGAAACCAGCCTGACCAACATGGAGAAACACCATCTGCATGTTGGAGATTAAATTACAAATTTGTAATTCCTAAATTTAGTAGTTTGTAATTACTAAAAATACAAAATTAGTCAGGCATGATGGCACATGCCTATAATCCCAGCTACTCAGGAGGCTGAGGCAGGAGAATTGCCTGAACCCAGGAGGCAGAGGTTGCGGTGAGCCTAGATAGCGCCATTGCACTCCAGCCTAGGCAACAAGTGCAAAACTCCGTCTCAAAAAAAAAAAAAAAAAATTCTTTTTCAGGGTAGCAACCATCCTCCAGGTGCACCAGGTAAAATATCCTGATGACATTTGAGTATCTCTAATTTGAGAATCTTCTAACTGAACTTGTTAGAAAGAGTAGCTCAGGCTGGGCATGGTGGCTCACGCCTGTAATCCTAAAACTTTGGGAAGCCAAGGTGAGTGGATCACTTGAGATCAGGAGTTTCAGACCAGCCTGGCCAATGTGGCAAAATGCTATCACTACTGAAAATACAAAAATTAGCTGGGTGTGGTGGTGTATGCCTGTAATTCCAGGTACTTCAGAGGCTAAGGCAGAAGAATTGCTTGAACCTGTTAAACCTGTGAGGCAGAGGTTGCAGTGAGCAGAGATCATGCCACTGCACTCCAGCCTGGGCAATGAAAGGTGACTCCACCACACACAAATAAAAATAAAAATAAAATGTTAAATAGAGTAGTCCAAAGATAATTATGCGAAATGGAAATAACTACATTTGGTAAAACTTCTTCAACGGCGAAATGAAACATGGGAAGTAACCCTTCCATCAGATCCCCTATTTGGTTACCTTAGGGATGCAGCCGCAGCTAAATCCTTCTGAATAGCCTGGGAGAACTCACTTTATTCTCTCTATGATCAAGGGCAATGAAGTAGCAATTCATATTCCAAACATTTTTCAGACAGAACTCATCTTGCCCAGGATCTATAGTAAACAATTCTGCAGCAGAGACTTCTGCCTATACATTGAATATAAGAGACACGTGTTGAGGAAAAATATTGTTCCTACCCATGTAGAATTTCATATCACTGCTCAAGACTTTTTTGGAAAGGGTCATTCATCCAGGGAGCCCTGCAAGTATATGTCAAGCATTTTATCTGTGGGGATTAAGTCTGGCTGAATATAACAGGAAAATTCAAAATGACAATAGCTCAGAGCAGATAGAAGCTGATTTTTTTTCCTCACATAAAGTAGGTCTAGAGCAGGCACTGCAGTCCAGGAACAGTAGCAGACCCACACGGCCCTACACAGCATCCTTCTTGCTCACCATTTTACTGTGTCTAGGCTGGCACCTCTTCCTCATGGTCTGTTATGGTTGCTAGTGCTACAACC